CTTCTATGAGCTCTCCAAGCAGCCTTCTCTTCTCCAGGCTGAACAGCCCCAATTTTCTCAGCCTGTCTTCATACAGGAGGTGCTCAAGCTGCCATTCTCCTGACCCTCCTCTGGACTTGCTCCAGCAGCTCCAGAATTTTTTATCTATCATTAAGAAAGCACATAAAAACCACAGTGGTTCTCCTTTTGTTTTGTTTTGTTTTTTTTTTTTTAATTTCTGTATGAGCAGAATGTGCATTCCTGAACCTTCCCTCACCCGCAACCAAAAAACCAAGAAACCAACAAAACACAACCACCACAACAAAGGAAACCAAACCACACACACACACACACACACAAAACCGACAACAAAATAAATGTAAAGAGTCAGAAGCTGTTCTTTGGAGACATAACCACAGTAATGATCCTCTTCCTCCTGCCACTTGTTCAGGCACTTTCTGTGCAACAAGCAAAGAAAGAATGAAGAGCAAGCACACATAGAAAATAGCAACCTTTAGCTGCAAAGATGTGGTTTTGCAGCTGTCCAGCTTCCTTTAGTTTCTAATAGCAACCACAGAATGTCTTCAGCTATGGCAAGCAATGTTTCAGTCCTTTTGTTAGTAAATGGTTAAAGTACCTTATCTTCCTGCTAAACTGTTTAAATAGCAACATCTTATGAACTATATTAACCAGTTAAAAGTGTTTAGATCTACATTTGTCAGACTTCCCTTAACTTTTCATATAGAATGGATGTTCTTAGAATTACTGAGATGAAATTAATTGTCAGAATTGCAAACATGTAAATGCAATCCTAAAACTGGAAAAACAAGGCATATAAATACATTACAGATGAAGGGTCTCAGTTTTCAGTTTCACGATTCTCCTTTAAAACTCAGATTCATTATACATTCCCTGCACAAAAATTAGAAATAAATGGGAGTTTCGGAAAGTGTGATAACCTTTTACAGGGATTTCCTGCTTTAACAATAGACAGGCTTAATCCTGATGGACCTAATATCAACATAGTATGATAATCATCAACATTTAGTGTGAGGTGTCCTTGCCCATGTCATGGGGATTGGAACTGGATGATCTTAAGGTCCTTTCCAACCCTAACTGTTCTGTGATTCTATGAACATGGAAGTCCATGGGAGTTTTACTAGTGAAAGTATTATAAATCCAAAATTTGTCAGAAAATAAAAAGTAACAGCAAAGGAGGAAATATAATTTAAGCCAAGGCAGGAAATAGTTTTTGCAAAAAAAAATTTGAAATACACACACACAAAATTTGGTTAAGATATTGAAATCTCAAAAACTTCCTGTTGGAAAATTCCTAAGCATCATTACAAGAATCAAAGAAGTGGCAGTACCTCAATCATCAGTCATGTCTCTCAAGGTACTCATTCCTTCTTACTTTTTTTCTGCTGTTCTGTTCCAAACTACATCCCAGTTTAATAGTTAAAATTTAGCTAAGCGTTATTCAGAGCAAAATCTCTCACAGTCTACAGTTGTATAGAAAAGAAAGAGGGAGAGAAGCTAGGGAGGCACTGCGCTTTCTTTATGGCATGGCTGTAAGTGCATGGAGACTGCCTGTGTTGCTGGAGTAACAAGTGTCCTCCTCAGTAAAAATCTGGTGCTCCCATTGGCAAGAAGCTCCACTCCCTTTCAGTTTGCATCTCGGCTGCAATGCAGAAACCAGTAACGGAAGTTTTTCACCAGCGGTCTGGCTCTGTCACACTTGTATCTCATCTTCTTCAGTTTGTGGTGACTTCTGTTGTTGTGGTGGGGTTTTGTGAGACAGTAAGAGTCTTATTCCTTTATGCATGCTAATTATGAGCTGAAGACTTGCTCATAACTTGGAGACTAATCTTCTGGGTAATTCTGGCTCTTTTTCAGCTGACTGTAAACAGGCTGCCCAGAGTCATGAAGAGCATGAAGAGCTTAAAAAGGATGTTATTTATATTAATCATAGAATCATAGAATGATTAGGGTTGGAAAGGACCTTAAAATCATCTAGTTCCAGCCCCCCTGACATGAGCAGGGGCGTCTTATATTTCATAGCTGCCAGTTAATGCAGATGGGACATACAGGTGATTTCATTGCATATTAAACAACAGCTAGGCACTTCCTTGGAGCTGTTTTATCCCCTTCACCACTGCTTGTAGGCACAGAAGAGACAGATGTTGCTGAAAACACCAGCTGCAAGAGGCTGCCTGCAGCAAAAGAGTTGAGGACCCCAAACAGCAGCAAGGTTCACCTTCAGGGTCATGGCTGGTTTGGGACCCAGTTTTGGGGTGGGTTTCCAGAGTAATGCAACCCACATTACATGCATGGGAACTCTTTCTGCTGCAGTTTCCACTACCACAGGTTCTTGCTTACCCCACCCTAAAACCGACTGGGAGGTAAAGAGGACTGGTAAGTGTACGGATTGTATGGATTACACATCACTGATACAGCAAACAGACTAAAGCAAATTATTTAAAACCACCAAATTACAGGTGCTTTCTGAACATCTTCAGGTACTCGCAAGGTTGAAAAGCTGTACCCCTGCACACACCAGAGGGAGAGCCCTGAGGTTGATGTTAGAATTTAAATGGTTTTGAAATGAAACATACAAAGTGTCCTGGTATTTTCCTCTTCTTTCTCTTGTTTGCCAGAAAGCACAGCCCCAGCTCTTGAGTTTTTACAGATCTCCTGTAAGTTACTGCATGATCATTTTAATTTGGTTTTTACATTACAATCTTAGAAAAATGCATATACTGAAACTTGTAACCTTTTCAAAGCTATGTTTTATCTTATTATGATATATATATGCTGTACTGAGTTGGAGAGAAGAAAATGGTATATTTAATATACCTGAAAAGTGTAGAGTATAATACTGATTACACTGCGATCTATTAAAAATTATTCTACAGGACACATACAAGGAACACTGCATTTGGGACTGTGAAGCACGTTAATTCATAAATAAACTCCAAGTCCAACTAATGCGTTCTTTGTCAGATTTCACAGGGAGGATTTTGATTGGCTCTTGATTTGGGGGGGGGGGGGGGGGAGTGGGAAAGATGAACAGTCCTCCATCTTCCTTGGCAAATTTTCAGGGAATAACAAAATTCACCACTGAAAATGTCTGTACATGTCTTCTAATCTATGTTTGTCTCCTATTGGTTGCGATAATCATGGTCTTCTGGACATCATGGAATGCTGGGTGGCAAGCAGGTATAGGAATGCTTTCTGGTTTGGTGCACATTCATAATGCCAGCTTTTAGGTGTTTTGTACTAGCTCAGAAATGGTGAACTGATGTAAAATGTTCACTAGTGAACATTCACAGTCATTAACTGGATTAATCTGTTTGCTGTGACGACGTGGCTGAAAGCTTTGCGGCAGGTTTCTTCCCTCTACATCCTGGGCTCTGTTGGGGGCTGGGTTTTACCTTTGGCAAGCAACTGCACTTTATCTGTAACAGGGCCCAGGGAAGGATGCCCTCCCTGCTGGTACTTAGCTCATTTCAGGTTTTTTCACTTCTAGAAAGGCACCTCAGTGCTCTTACACCCAGACCTTGCTTTGTACAAGGCGTTAATAACTATGTTTAAATTTCCTTATTCTCTTAAATTATATAGTTGATTTTACTTTTGTCATTATGGCAATTTTATTGTAAGGGGTTTATTTCCTTTTTACTGTGTACAAACTCAAACACTGAGGTGGCTGTTAAGAAACCAAAATTATACTTGCATCATAGTTAATGTGTCAGAGAATAATCTTGTAAAAGCTGAGTGTCTCAGTTATTAATAATTAGAATTTATGAGTTAAGAAATATGCTGCAACTGTATCAAATTCCTTGGGAATTTAATGTAGAAAGTCGAGAAATAATTTTAGAAATACTCCCATGTGTGAATTTCCTTTATGATCAATGCCTGAGGCTGTGAAACCCTAGGTGACAACTGAACTAGCATTTTAGGTTATGTCTGTGGCTGCTCCTTGTATGCCTTCCTATTTGAAGCCAGTGTGACAATCTGTCTCATTTTTGAGACATAAGAATTTGTCAAATTTTATTTTCACTGTGCTTTGCTTAGTTTTATTCTTAGTACTATGTGCAGTTTTCCAGGATTCCTCTGGGAGAAGAATTAACACATTTGAACTTCATGTGCACATACATGTTGTTGGCTGTTCCCGTTTTCTTCTGTATTTTTTTTCTGACTGTTTACTACCTACTAAACAGGCTTAGTATAAGCAGTTTTTAATATCTTCAAAGATTAAAAGAGCACTTTTAATCTATTTTTTCTGGTTCATTGATATATGAACTCTTGCAAGTCTGGAGGGAACAATTAAAAATCTAACAATTTTTTTTTTAGTCAGGAGCTTAAGCGTGAGGCCATATTTAAATAAGCAAGTTATTTTTGTGAACTTGAGATGTAAAATTTGAACTCTTGAAGTTAGGCATGTGTTGATGCACCAGAGTGAATTACAGCCCATGCGAGGCTACCCTGGTCCTTTCTCCTGTGATTCTGTACTCAGGCATGTTTGGGAGGATCAGTTAAGATAGCCTTGCCATGCCATTTGCCAGCAAGTCTGACGATAGCCCTTCTCTTTAGATCTCCCTCCTTCTCTAATTAAATTCTTTTCTTGTAACAAACACGATCATACACGATCATCACCTCAGCTTTTACATTTCCTAAGTATCAGTTCAAGATTTCACATCTGCCAGGTACAAATGCAGTGGGGTTTCTTGGTTATATACTCTCAGGATAACAAACCACCCTGCTGCTTCTGCCAACCATGAGCACTTGAACAGTTTCTTAAATCCATGTGCTGCTTCTGCCCTGAGGACAGAGCTCTCCTTGCGCGTTCAGAACCACCCGTCTCATACGCATAGTGCAGGACTAGCTAAATCTCTTCTGCACCTCCTAGCTGACCTCCAGCCCTAAACCCTTCAGGCAGCTGCTAGGTGGTGGGCTCTGCCATACTGGGTTGCTGGTCTAGTCTCCACATCAAAGCTTTTTGTATTGTTCTTTGTTAGCAGAAGTATGTGGAGAAATCAAGCTTGTATCTTGCAGAGAATGAAAGCAGACTGCTTTCTCAGTCTCAGCCAGGTGTGAGGAAACATGTTCAGCCTAACAAAGGTTTTGCTGCTCCCGGCTGTTCAACCATTTCCTAAAAGTCTCCCAGATGTAAACGACGTGAATGTTTCACCACTAATTCAGGTGGCAAAAAACTTGAGAATGAAGGCTAAGATTAAAGGAATAGGTATGTGCCACATGTCCTTCCGTGCCTTACTGTCCCATCTCCAAGCCTCTGGATTGCAGAGTGTCGTAGACTGTGAATGTCAAGCCTCTTGAAGTATTCGAGGTGTTCCTGTTCTACTGATCTGGATCAGACACATTACATGGAAAGAGAAATCACACCCAGAGGTGATCTGTCATCCACTTGAGGGAAGCCTGACAAATAATTTTTGTGATTCAGTACTAGGAAAGCATTCTAAGTTTTATTTTACTTTCATATCTAATGTGACATTTAATAGGAGCTAAATAATTACCCATGCTTAATGTTCCACATAATGTGACAAGATGGTTTTTAAAACATAGGGATAATTATTTTTTTTTCAACAGAAGTAGACACAAGTGTTGACTGTGAAGAGGAAGATAGTGGAACAAGGCCATGTTCTCATTGCTACTAGATGTGTAGTTAGAACAGAAGTGTTTGTGTACTTATTTCAGGGCCCATGCTGCACGGCTCTCCCCTCCTGGCAGTGGTGGCCTTGGCTGGGCTGCTGAGCTGAGCAGAAGCAAGCAGAAACCCTCTGTGCCGGTGCCAAAATGTGAGGCATGTGTTTTGTTTTGCTTTTTAAAACCTACTGTTATCTTTTTATCTATGTTTAAGTTATGTGATGTACCGAAGTTGCAGTTAAGTTTTACTGGTTTTACAGACACACGCTTATGTCCTGTTCTCTTACTGAAAAGCTACTTCTCCCAGCTTCTCCCCAGTGCTTCTTTAGCAGTGAGCCAGCTCCAGCTGGCCAAGTCCAATGCTTTCTCTCATTAATGAGCAAGCGTAGGGGCAGCAAGAATGCGCCAGCTTCTGCCCAGGTTGGCACACGGGAATCACATGGCCTCACACAGGTATCTGTCAAGGATAAAATCAAACATTTTACTTGTGTGGAAGTACTTGTGCATTCCTCCAGCGAGAAGCCCGGCCGGGGCTGTCCGTATGAGGTGGAGAGGGGCTCTGTACAGTGAAGGCTGGTGTGCTTCTCCATCCACTATAACTGGTCTAGATGCCGCTGCTGCCCGTCCTGCACCTGAGTGTACGGTAACGCTGTGGTAACTACTTCAGCTGTTGGCGAGGTGTGACGCTAATTACTGCTGCCGGCCCTGGGCTCCTCCGAGACCGCGCTGCGCGACTTAAGGGCTTTGACGGGGTTACGGTTCACTAAGGCCCAGACAGGCTACAGCGGAAGCTCGATCCCTCCTGCCGCTGTTACCTGCGCGTCCCGGAGCTGGCCCGCGCTTTGCGGGCAGGGGAGGGGCCCGGCGGCGGGGCCGGGCCGGGCTGGGCCGTGGCAGGCCAGCCGGGCACAGCGCCGCTGTATCTGCAACCACAGTGGCTCATGGAAGGCTACAGAAAGGCCGCCCGTCCCAGGTTAGGAGGGGAGCTGGCAGTGTCCCCCCGCCCCCGGGGGGCGCTGCCGTGAGGTGAGGCCCTGGGCGGGAGGACAGACCGGGAACGGGCCCTCCCCTACCCGGCGGCTGAGCGCGGGTTCTTCCCTGTGGGATCAGCGCCTGTCGGCGGGAAGCGCGGGGTGAGTACGATCCGTGGGTGTCTCTGCCCCTCCCCCGCGGCCCGGCGCCCGCCGCGCCGGCGGGGCTGCCGCGGCCTGAGGAGAGGTGCCGCTGGCTTCCCCTTCGCCGAACTGCAGGGAGCGGTGGTGGCGGGCGGGAGGTGCTGCCGCCGCCCTGAGGTCGCGGCGACCCCAAGGAGCAGGCGATGGATGGGGAGGGCGAAGCGGATCTCTTAAGCGACAAGGCGGCGCCGCGGTGGAAAAGGAGGTCGACCCCCCGGCCGCAGTCCCGTGCCTGGAACAAGCCCCGGCCCCAGTCGTACCAGAGCCCCAACGGGGTGCTTTTCACCGACTTTCCCGTGGAGGACAGGTGCACCTTCACCATAACTCAGCCTTCCGGCACCGTCAGCACCTGCTTAGGCGGCAGAGAGTTCCGGAGGAGCCCCTTGTTTTTCAGATCCAGCATGGGATCAGTGTCCAACGGGACGGTGCGGCCTCCAGCCCGTCAAGCGATCTCCCCTGAGGCCTCCCAGGTGCTCTCTATGGTCTCGAACAGTTCTGTCGGTGTTACTGCCAACGGCACCATTACCTCACCGGGAAGCCAGCCGGGTCGGCCTCTCAGGATTTCCAGTCAGTCAGCACTTTCACCACAGCGAGAGCGGATTGCTTTCACGGGCAGCTCTGAGCTCTCACCTACTGGAAACACGCCTTCCTCCAGTAACAGCAACGCGGCAGCGCTGCCCTTGCAATGCAGCCGGGTTTCCAAAATACCAGAGAAAGTATCGCCGGTTTCCCAGGCGATTTCACTAGAACAAGGGGTCCCTCCTCAGAGGCCGGCATCCCCTCGGGACCAGCCTGCCATTCTGAGCACCAACAGCCCCGCCGCCCTCAAAGTGGGCACGCAGCAGATCATTCCCAAGAGTTTGGCTTCCGAAATAAAGGTAACGAATAAAGCCAACAGCCAGAATGCGGACATGAGCAAGAGAGTGCTGAAGGTCCGCAGCATGGTGGAGAGCCTCAGCGTGCCTTTGGTTGCCGACGCTGAGGAAGAGACTGAGGGCGACTTGGAGAGTCCAGGGACCCTGCGTCGCGGCCTGAGGTCAACATCCTACCGCAGAGCGGTGGTAAGCGGTGTGGACTTCGACAGCTCTAATAATTTGAAGAAAAAGAACAGAATGTCACAGCCCATACTTAAAGCAGTTGTTGAAGATAAAGAGAAATTTTCGAGCCTGGGGAGGATAAAGGTAAGTTGTGTTCATCAGTGGCATGGGGATTCGAGTAGTGTAGGTTACACTGGAGTGTAATTTGCAGTCTCTCTTGTCTGTAAATGCTGGGAGGGGGTCAGTTTTCTTTTTGCTACCACCGAACTTCATATGGATGAGTCTCACAGGTCACTTCCAAGTGTTGCTTTCAAAGTAGACAGGGGCTTCAGGGACATGATCACTGTGGAAATCTGGGCAGTTCCAAACTATGTTAATGGCAGCCTCATGCGGCGTTTCTTGCTGGATTCCTCAGCACATCGAGGTTTTCTTTTACAATCAAGATAATGTTTTAAAACCCGTTTTTGCAGAAAATAATAATAAAACCAGAAAAAAAACAACAATGTAATAAAGACACAATAAAGTCTGCTAAAGTAGTAGCATCCTCCCCTACTCCTCTGTCTGAGACATTACTTTTAAAATATTTTTAAAAATCAGAGTGAGGTTGTTTGTTTTTTTGGTGGGGTTTCTTTTTGTTTGTTTGTTTTGGTTTTTAATTGGTAGAGACCACTTCGGGTATCTTTTTGTAAGAAAAAGCTGCATGCCTGTTTATAATTTTTGGTTGTAATCCCTTAGGAGTAGTAGATCTATATTTAATGTTAGTATTTTCGAATTATAAAGACTTCCTGAAAACCTTCTTACTTGAACATACAATATAGTAATCTTGTATTCCTTCTTTTTTAATATGATTTGTTACTTTAAAAATGTATTTGTTGTGTTCTGCTAAGTTTGGAATTGTGTAATAAAGTACTCCAGGCTGAGGGGCTAATGCTGTAGCTATTGAAATAATTATCAGCTCTATGACAATTTTCAGTGAAATTAAAAATTATGGTTTGTGAAAATGTTACAAGTGGTGAAATAGTAATTGATTAAATTGTGAACTCCTACAGCATAGGGAGGCGGAATGTTTTGGCTCGGTAGCAGATTTATAACAGTAAGTTGTATTTAAAATAGGACAAGATGTTGTCCTGTCCTTACACCCTAAACTGTTTTTGCTGGTAATATTTTCTTTAAATAGACCTCTTAGACCATAAGACTTGTTGCACCAAAAGAGCTGTTTTATTTCAGGGATTTCTTTAGTCTTATAATTAGTTTACAGAATATTTGATGTGGCTGTTATTTGTAGAGTGTGTGGAAAGTGGCAGCTGCTCAGTCCTGCACCTAATATCCTTGTAGGAAGGCCCAGTGACAAGGGACAAGTTGAGAGTTCACTGAACTCTTGTAAAGCTAGTAGTATGCTATGCTTTTGAAACGTAGGAAAATGAAGCATTTAGGACAAATACGTATAAAGAGCGCACAAGAGAAGGAAAACCAGAGCAGCCTTTCACCTTCTGTGTGTGTGGAAGCAATCATTTTCATGAATACATGTCCAACACCAGAAGTTTATAGACCAGGGTCTGTCAATTTGGTGCCTAAGTATCAAATGAAACAGAAGCTCTTGTTACTGTTGGTTATTTTTGCATGCTTCTTTTAATGTGTATTTATCTCTTTCTTGTTAAAATCGTCAGAAGAAAGTGCTGAAAGGACAAGGGACGTTTGATGGAGAAGGTAAGCCCTTTTCTGTACAGACTTGATAATATGCTCAGTCACAAGAGAAATTAACTTCAGGATCATTTTGCACACTTTCGTATGTAATCAAAGGCTAAGTACCTTGTTTTACAGTAAACTGGCTAGAAGATGGAACTGTAACTTTGGTTCTAGACATACTTTAGAGACTATTTTAAAGAATACAGAGTGGCAGGCTAAAAGTTGGAGTTTAGAGGCTTCTTTTCCATTCAAACTCCTGTCCCTCCTAGAAGATAAACTGACCAATGTGTCCATCTCAGCTCTGACAGTTCTTTAGAATTACATGAATGAGGCTTATTCCTCCATTTGGTACTGCCTTCCTACCTGTTCCTGGTGCCTCCTCCCAGGTGCAAGATGTAACTTTTGTGCATCAGCTAACCAACGGGTTTGGGGTAAACACCTGCAGCAGATGCCTGAATTGTTGCTCCTTGAGTTTATGGTTCATGCAGCTGTTTCACTCCTTTCCTTGTAAGGCAAGGGTGCTGGGGTGAATTCTTTGACTTTGTAATACTCTTCTTGCTACAAGTTTCAAGTTTGTCAGAAGAATGCTGTATGCGTATCTGCTTTTTTATGTTACTCATTAGTTCCAGGCTTTGCCAAGCTTGCTGCTTTTCCCAGTATTTTGACAAGAAAAAGATTCTTTCCTGGCTATGAATCCATGGCAGTTTCATTATAACAACTGCTACTTTCTTGGCTTTTGTTTGCTAGATGCTTCCTTAAGGTCATCTCAGCTGCTGTGTTGCCTTCCTTTTCTTCTTGTTTCTATTTTCAAAACATTCCACTTTATCCTCTCTGCATCACCCTGTCTTACTCTTGCTCTCAGCTTTCAAATGCTAGCTCCTAATGATGCTTTCTAGATTATCTTCCAGTGGCTCCCTTCTATCTTGGACTGATCCGAACTAATATCTTCCTCTGTAATGCCTCTCAGAATTCAGTTGCTGTACACAATTTCCTGACTTAAAAGTGTATAAACTATACAGACCTGTTCCAAAGAGCAATACAAAAGGCCAGGCCTTGTGTAATATTCAGCCACAACTGTATGGTCCAAGCAGGTGAAACAGATCCATTCAGCTTGGTGTAAGACCTCAGGAGCTGCAGCTGTGCATGGAGCAGCTACACCCTTTGCTTCTTTCCCCTTTCTCTTGTAGGGGAAGATTAGCTATTGTCCAAATCCTGGCCTGTCTGAGCTGCCATTTAGAGTTTGCTTTCTTAGCACTTAATCCGTCTTTGTTATTTTGGCCTGAAATTTCTCTGTCGTTTTCTGACTGCTTTTAAAAAAGGTGTGTGGTAAGGAGGTTGGGAAAGGGAAAAGGTATGCTCCACACCTGTGTCTCTTTGCCATTGATATTACTGAATTAATATTAATACTGAAATACATAATGAACGTATTTTGCCTCAAGGTTCATAGGCCTCCTGCTTATCCAAGCAAGCTTGGGAGTTTCTGTTTGGAATAACTTGACCTCAAATTGCTGAAATTTGGATCATTGCCTTCTTTTAGTGAAATGCAAAGATGGTAATTTAAAGCTGACAAAGTTGGTATGGATAGTGGATTTACAATGGTCTGGTAGATTAAAATAGCTAGACCTCCAGATTAGTGACTCTGCTCTACTGACACGCTTGTTCCGTTTTTAAATTGCTGGCTAATTATGAAACATTGTACAGCAAACCAAAGAAGAAAAAATTGTTTTTTGCTTTTTCTTGACAAAGGACGCATCTGTTTTTTAATTCAGTCAGTGTGGATCTTTTTGGTAGCGGTACAGTGATCCATTGTTACTGTGCTGTACCATTGTCCATCCTAAATAAGATGCTATCTTTGTCTTGTGGAGTTTGTGAACAGCACATTGACATTTTAGTTTCTTTCATTGTTTAGATGTTAACTTACAGTTTTTATGAAAACAACTAAGCTAACTTTCTAGCAATTAATGACGTTGTTGTTTTATAGAAGATGCTGTATTATATCAGAACTATAAAGAAAAAGCTTTGGACATAGATTCTGATGAAGAGTCTGAGCCCCGAGAGCAGAAATCAGATGAAAAGATTGTTTTTCACTGTAAGCCCCTGAGATCAACATGGAGTCAACTGTCCATTGTAAGTATTTGATCATCACATAGCCTGACAAAGACAGAGTGTCTAAGAATCTGTTGAAGCATGTCTCCTTACTTGGTACTGGAGTTTTTGGATGAAGTTTGTCACCTTCTTTTCTCTTCCAAGATATAAGATGTCTCTGAATATTTTTTTTTTCCCCAACAACTTTACGGCTATTGAGATGTTACTAATCCAAATCCAGAGGTCTTAATTTAGCTTTTGTCTAGGTTTTATATAAGGTAACTCCAAAAGCTTAAGGAAAGCATAAATCATGTTTTAGCAGTCAATGCTAGTAGGTATAGACTGATGCTCCTGCCAGAATCAGTTTCTCTGGTTACCTGACACCTCCCTTTTTCTGGTATAGGTGTTTGTAGGCTCCTGTGGCTACACCATAAACTGGTTGGAGTATGTGATTGAAATTACCAAGAAAAAACCTCAGTATAGTTTTAAGCTAAAATTAAATACAAGTTTGAAACGTAAAGGAATTAATACTTAATATTTGTACACTTTTAAGATGTTTGATGTTTTTTGGGGTTGGTTGGGGTTTTTTTTTTGTCCAGCAGAGTTTAAAAAGAAAAAACAAGTATGTCTCTTGTTTGCACACAATTGCAAATGTGGAGGTGTTGGCCATGCTGCTGCAGATCCTTTAGGAGAGTTATGGTTCACAGGCATGCATGATGCTGCATCTGGATGTTCTGAATGACCTATGGTCAGAAAGGCCCAAAAGACAGTTTTACATCCTAACAGTGTGTGAAGTCGGCATGAAATTTACGTAGTTCCTTTGTTGTTCTTCATAGTTTGCTTTCAGTGAATTGGAGCAGTGCAGACCAAAGTTTAAACGGGACTTAGTCCTGTTCCTTCTTTTTTTTTTTTTTTTTTTTGCTAAACTTTAGTTTTCTTTTTGTAAAGACAACATAGAAGTCCTGCTCAATTACTGGTCTTTGTTTCTGTGCAATTGAGAGAGTTAATTTTAGGGTCCTGTATTTGGCAATGACACAACTTTACTGATTTGTTAAGGGGTTGGGGGGGGAGTGCTTGTGTGAATTCACTAAAAGGGTGAATTATACTAAAGAAAAGCTTCAGTTAGTTACAAACAAGTTTCTGCCAAATTGTTCTGAATAGCTATAAGCCTGCTTCAAGGTGGTTTGACAGGATATATTTAAAGGAAACCATTTTAGATGGTGGTATTCTACTATACTTAGCAGAGTCTGTGAAGCATCTGCAGTGGATTTTTCTTAGCAGCATTGTTAAACAAAGTAGAATTTGCTGTTACAATCAGTACAGTAAACTTGCTAGCTTCCCTCCTAATAAGATGGCAAATTAATGATGCTAGTTAATACTTCACAGGTTTTCATTGTATGCATGATTTTGAGATGAAAGAAAATAAAAAAAAATAATCTTTGTTTCCATGGTTAATTTTATCCTTTGATCATTTCTGTGGCTTCTGGATGGATATCCCTAAAATGAAGCATTTGGGATTTTTGGGGGGTTTTTGTTTATGTAATTGTATCATTATGTAGAACCTCATCTTTGTATGTGGTATAAGAAAGATTATTACATGGCATGATCACCTAGGATACTTGACTGCTGGGGTCATTGGCTATATATATCCTATATAAATTAGTTACTGAGGCTCAGCAAAATCTTCTAAGGCTATTTAGATTGTCTAGAAGAGCTGTCTTAGAGATGTTGACAACCTTTTGCAGTTTAAGATATTGAAATATGAATCTCTCTCATTCAGTAATTATAAAGAAAGCATGAGAATGTGGTTTTGAAATGGTGTGCTTAATGAAAAAAGAAATGTGCTTAATACTGTAAAATGTTTGTTTATAATCAACTCCTAGGCAAGCTAGTAGTTATGTTCATCAGCTGAAGTATTTTGGAAGGAATGCTGTTCAGTAACAATAATAATTTCAAAAACATTAATTTGTCATGAGACCAAAATAATGTAAAGATCATTTCAATAAGAGAACCTTCCTGTACCATGCTCACAGTTTATAAACCAACTCGTGTCTTTGTGATTTCTAGCACAGGAAACTTCCTCATTGTCTTTACTTGATTTACAAGATTAAAAGTGAGGAGTATATGGGAAAAGGTAGTGCACCGTGAAAACAAAATATGGGAGTCTGAATCTCGTTGTATCTCGGTTTATAACTGAAAAAACTATACATTGTCAATGTGTATTAAAAGGTGAATGTGGAATTGTAATAGCAAGTCATCTGGAAAATGGTTTCAACATACATTAGGAGATAAGGAAAATACTGTGTTTATGGTATTTGTTAGCAGTGACTATGCTAGGAAATCAAGGGGAAGGAGAGGAGAAAGAATCCACTCTTTCTGTAGGATGTTTCTTTGGCCATATAGGCTTGACAGCTGTATGGAGTTGTCAAATCCTTTGATAATAAAAGAGGGCATTTCTGTCTTCCTGCAGTGTATGCACAAATGTGAAACTAAGATTGAGCTTTTAAGGGGACATTTAAAGGTGCTGTTTAAACCCAGTTCATTTCACATTTCTCTCTTGAACCCTCTTCCTCTTTAGTTTCCTATTACAGATCGGACAGCAGTATCTAAGATCAGTTCAGCTAGCAGTATGTAAGCAGATGATTATATAAGGAGCTACCTTATCTTCTATCTCTGTTCCTTCCAACCTTCATCTATTAATTTTAATTTAGGGAGCATGACCAATATTTCCAAGACGTATTCCAATAGAATCTTGCAATGCTTTTGAAGAATTTCCAGCAGATCCTAGGCAGTGATACTAACTTGTGCATTATATTGAATGTGTTTGCTTTCCAACAAATGCAGTGTTTGGTGGGTGTGGATACCAACTATGTGCATTATTGTGCATGCAAAGAATCACAGCAGTGGTTAATTTGGAAGAGACCTCTTGAGTTATCTTGCCTCTGCTCAAGGAAGGTCATTTAGAACAAGTTGTCCAGGACTGTGTCCAGTCAGGTCTTCACTATTTCCATTGGTGGAGACCTCACCACCTCCCTGGGCAACCCATTGCAGAGTTTGCCCAGTGCTTCAGACTGGTGGACTTTTAACTTTGATATCTGTTTTTCCAGGTTATTACCATCCAGCCTGGAGAATGATATATGTTCACTTTTCATGACTGCTGTCAATGCTGCTGGATTCTTACAAATATTCTTGAGATCTAGCACTGGAAACAGATATCCCATGGTCTGGGTAGTGCTCATACTTATTGAAGTATTTAATATTAAATGGGTGTTTTAGGATTAAGTCCTCCATTTCATGCCCAGTATGTTCCATGTATTTATGTAGCACTGTACTGAGATTTTGCATGTTCTCTCAGCTGCTCTCTCTCTGACCCAAGCTTTGGTCATCTTATGTGTTGTTTTTCTGATCAACTTTCTCTCATCTGGGACAAGCACAGTTGTGATTTTTTTTCATTAATTTAGGAATGTGCAAGTTGCTTTACCAGGTTACTTAGTGTCACCTTTCCATGGTTGGCTCTTCGCTGTGGTATCAAACAAAAACTACTTTGTTTTACTGTTGAGAAGCTTCATGGCAAATCTTTGTGTTAGCTCTTGTTTCTCTCCCAGTATCAAAGGGTGGATGTCCAGTTTGGTTTATGGTGCAACCTTTTAACTATATTTCTCAAAGAATTACTTCTGGTGAATTCTCCCACTGCAGTGCCTCCTTATTCTGGAGAAACTTCTTGTACATAACCATAGAGTTAATCTGTTGTTCTGTTACCCTTTTCTCCTTATCTCCATGGTTTAATCAGTCATAACTTACTGCTGGAAAACAGTCCAGTGTGATAGTAAGATTTTAGTAGCTGTAGTGTTGGGCCTCTTCTGTTCCTCCTGGTTATGTTTTTAGCTTGTATTAAGTTTTTGCTTGCACAGTATTACAGATGTGATTTTTAGGCTATTTCAGCTAAAACATTTTGGACGCTTCAAAAGTAGGAGTTGAATTTTCTCTTATAGAGTATGTCAAAAATAGTCTCCATATTTGGGCTTCTTTCTTTTTGAAAGTGTTGCTGTTGATTAAGAATATAAGGTTGAGCCATTTGTTTATTACTGTGTTACATTAATACGTACTTTGTATGTACATACCCATGTATGACAAAATAATGATCACAAAACACAGCTACAGCTTTCTGAACAGAATACTGCAGTTGTCGCATTGACCTCACAGGAAATTTGCAGTTGCTGTATTAACAGGAAGCATTGAAATATCTTGGATATGTTCATAGGTATTTCCTGTGTTGGCATATTTTTAGAAAAGTCTTCCACTGCATCCAGAAAAAAGTGACACTGTACTTCCTAGTGAGTGCTTTAAAGCTTTCAGGTTGTTGAATGAAAGGTACCTTAAGAGTGTAGTTGAAAGGCATCTAATCAGTTCTAGCTTGGTATTCAGAAGTGAATGCTTGTGGTGACACGGGAATCTGTAACTCTTATTCAGAAGAGAAACTGCTCAAACTCTGGAATATTTATGTTGGTTTTGTAAGTATGTACATGTGTGTATATACTGTGGTGTGCACACAAAGTAAAGCACAGCACTTCTAAATGTTGTGCCATCTTTACTCTTGAGCGTGCTCTCCAAGTTTTGGGTGCCTGGCATACAGGAATAAAATGAGGTATAATATGTCCTTTAAAATTCCAGGGAACGAGTAAGAAGACAACACTATTGACAATAGTACATGAGGAGCTTTTGGAGAAGACTGAAAAAAATGACAGGATCTATATGCATCTGCTAGGTCTCATGTCCCATGACATTTGCTCTGCAAATAGAATAGTATCTTTCAGATGTGTAGTGCAGTGTAGTGGATTTTCTCCCCTCCCCAGGTCCAGTGTGTTGTATGCACATGACCCTACTGTTTTGGGGTCCTATGTTCAACACTCCTCTAAGAAATGTGTAAAATCTGTTCCTCCCCGGTGCTTTGCTTTCTGGTTTGTTTTTTAATATTTTCCTGTTAAATGGCATAATGCATGTGATTTGCACCAGGAACAAATAAACTTCAGGAGTCTTTGGTGTGGAATTTGGTAGATGAGCGTGTGGCTTCAGGCTCTGGGAAACATGGCTATGGGTGCAGTTCCTGATGGCTGGCTGGGGAGAGCTGGGGCAGACTTGTCTTGGGTGATTTGGCTCTAGGGTGCCAAGTGGGGAGAGGCATTGTAGGGTTTAGAATAGAAATACGGGATTTCTCCATGTCTGTTTAGAGTAAAGCTGGAGCTCCTCTGGAATAATGTTTTGGCCAACACCAAAGGTCTCTACACCTTTAGGTGTGTTTAACAGATGAATACACTGAGACATACCAGGCTGACTTGGAAAACAAACCTTGTGATGTGTGTATGTCAGTCAGGAAATTATCTTGAAATGAGAAAGCAGTTTCTCTCTCTCTGTGTGTGTGTGTGTGTGTGTGTCTGTGTGTGTGTGTGTGTAAAATCCAGGGATGTTGTGCATGGTGACCGTGATTTGACCGTGCATGTTCTTGCTGCAGTAGTTCTGTGTTTGTGTCGTGGGATAGTTTTTAATGAAATTATTTAGGTTTTGATAAGTCAAATGACAGATGTTTTTGACTCAGTTTCTTATTTCTGCTGGTTCATTACCCTCTTTCTGAAGTGGACAGATGCTTTAGCTGAATTATTGGTATGATGTTTTGATAGTCCTGTTGAGTGTTTTTTAAATCGCATTTTTTCCTACCAAAGATGTTAAGAATTTTAATTTTTTATATACATTTTTAGGTGAAGAAGAATGGGTTATCAGAAGCGACCAGCCAGGAAGAAAGAAAAAGACAGGAGGTACTTTTTGAACTAACACTCATTTGGGTTGATTGCTTAGGGATGCACTGTATGCCTGTTTTAATATTCTTTATTTGTTGATAAGGAGACAAGTTCACCACACTGCTTCCTGACCTGGAGTAAAGTATCTTCTCTCCCCAGGGAAAATAAATAAGCAAAACCTGTGTGTTGCTGATGTGCATATGTCCCTGCCATGGGTCTCCTGCCAACATCCTGTAGGTCTTGCTGGAGAAGTGGTTCCTAGGTATGCTCACTCCAGCAGATATGGCTTGGTTGGTGGCTATTGGGCAGCAGCAGTCACTGCTGCATGCTGTGCCAGTGAAGGTGTAAAATTAACCTAGTGTTCACAGAGGGTAGGAGGTGGCACATAAATTTTTAAAAGCAGTGAGGAACAAAGAACAGCTTTTTACAATGCTCCTTAGTTGTAACTAATCCTGTGAACAGTTGTGAACAATTCTGAACGTTCGAGCAGTGTGTATCTGGTGTAACTAACCTTTCTCCTTTCACACTGAAATGAAGTAGGTGCTTCCATGCTGGCAGCAGTGCTGGCAACAGCAGCAATTACTGATGTCATTACCTTATCTCTCTCTGTCTTTCTCCTTTGCTCCTTTTGTCCTCTTTAGCTTTACTCTTTCTCTTTGCTCCTTTTATCCTCTTGATCTGCTTTACCCTCCTTCCTTACTTACAGGGGCTATATCAAAATGAATGAGAGGTGTTGAAAAGAATAGCGTGACCTAGCCAACTATATCCCTGCAGTTCTTGAGGTATGTCCTTAATAGGGAAAACAAAAACAAAACCAAGTAGTGGGTTTTTTTTTCCTAATAGAACTAGCATTTCCTGCTGTGGTAATTTGTTCCAGTATCTTCATTTTGCTTCAGGACATACCTCAGTAAATATAGCCCAGTGAGACGTGATGGGTATTTTCTGTGAAGCATATAGTATAGCAAGTCTCAAATGTTAATTTAGCTGTGTGACCTACAGCTGCTGTGTTCATACCTGAAATACAGACACATTTTGCGTCGTATGCATGGGATTTAGCAATGGTTTGTTTATTTGTTTGGTATTTGTTTCTTCCATAGTGTTACTACATTTCCTTGGCTGTTTTCTTTTGCTTGGGGAAAATGCAGTGCAGCAATTCAGGCCATGTGTCCTGCTTTTGTCTCCTCCTGCTGGGAAGCTTTGAGGCATGACGCATTTATTTCGGTCATACCCTTCAGTTGCGTTTAGCCCGTGTTTCCTGGAGTCATATTTACATCCCTTCAAAGAGAGCAGGTTCTTTAGATGCCTTTTAAATGTAAAGTCTTAAGTGTTATCATAAATGTTTTCAAACCTGATAGGGTTTTTATTTGAATATTAGAGGACTATTCTTTTAGAGGGTGTCTAAATAAATACCCTGAAGATGTAGTCATACTACCAAGTTTTCCTTATGCTGTATTTCTTTAAATTGCTTATTATCAGTTGTTCTTTATCTAGTCTTTAAATTGCTTTTTAGAGCCTGTTAGATTATTTTTGCCATTATAACATATTGTCACTGCAGAAAAATGTTTGCTTACTACCTTGATTAAATGTCAATGTCATACATTTCATACACATACTATCTTTCAGAACACATTAGTGAGATGGGTCTCTGTGCATCTTTTGTCTAAAGAATAGACAGACTGATGTGAACTGAAATTTTTTTTGATCTTTTATTGTAATCTGGTAACTCTTAACTGTGCCATCTGTATACAAACTGCAGTATGCATCTGGCCTTTTGAGAGTGTTTCCTGTCCATCAGGATTCAAACCTCTGCTTACCTTGCTATCAGGCAAATGAACCACAGAATGGTTTCAGATGTCATTCATAAACAGTATTAGCAAGCACCTAGTAAACAACCACGTTCAGAGGCTGGGGTGGTGTAGTTATTGTATGTCAAAGTCAAGATTGTTCCTTAATCCTTTTTTATTCTCCAAAATGTGTAAGATGATACTCTCTCCCTCCTCACACATTAGAAGCAAAGAATCTTTCTTTGTCTGACTTTGTTCTGAATTTGTTTAATGACTTTCTGTTACCAAACTGGGAAGATATCCATGGGGGTCCTCAGTAAAGCATGAATAAAACCCCTTCAGAACAATAATAGGAGAGCTTGTATATTTACCTGTGTGGAAAAATGTCTGGGTAGAAATGAATTAAGACATAGAACTCCACAGCAGTTGTTAGGTAAATCTTTGTGAGCACAGCTGGCAAAGAGGTACAGTGAGACTGAAGACTGGAAACATAACTGCCAGGCAGAGGCCAAAATACCCTTTTGGGGCACCTTTCTGTACATTGTTTGCCGAACAGTGGGTAGGTTTGCCACCAGAGTTTGGTTAATGTGTGTGTGCTCTATAAATTCTTGAGGCTGAGGGACTTGGCAGGCAGTTTAACAGTGTTTTAAGCATCACCTTTGCAAACCTTCTGCAGCGGTTTTGACTCTTGAGAATAATATGTAGTATGTTGTAGCTGTTACCCAGCTGTTGCTGTATCTTTCATCAGATCCCTTCAGCTTTTTTAATAGGTAGCAAGATAGACTGCTGGTACATACATTAAGCCTCTTTTGCATGTTTCTATAATGGCCTTGTAGGTTTTCTGTGGAGTGCAGTCATGTTTGCACTGCTTAAACCTTTAAGGCTTCAGCTAAAGCAAATTTTTTTTGTTTTGTTCTAAGATACCCAAAACTTGTTATTTGATTATTAAGATCCCAGTTCTTTGAGGAAGACTATTTAGAAAAGCAAGAATAATTTTCAAAGCACAGCCTGGGAACAATGATACTCAGGATACCCAAGAGAAATTGCATTTGGTTAAAAGTTTACTAGTAACACCAGCAGAATTCACTAGGCTGGAACTCTTGAGAAATCTTATGAACAAATGTCCCTTGGAGAATGTTTTGCATTTTTTTCCGATTATGGTTTGTCTCTTTTGGTGGTTGGAAATAGGAAGACTACCTTCAATCTGCCTGTAGTCTCCCTTGGCTTTACCTGGTCAGGGAAGAGCAGGATTTCTCTATTGCATGTACATAAGGCCACCTGAGTGAACTCCTTCTCCAGACTGTCAGCTGCGAGACTTTTTTCTGTTTGTAGAGCCATGGGCATTAGCCTTTCTAAATACTCAGATCTGCGCTGTGTCATTTAAAGTACATGTTTCTCCTTTGGTTTGAGAATGCTTAGAGAAGTTAGTTGCAAATCACTAATGAAATTACAGATAATAGTATTAACATTAGTTACATTAAAAACAAAGTTATATTACTACCTCTGCTGATTGTGTAATTCTATGTTAGTAATGCTTGGAAGGTAGCGCTGATGACAAATGTGACTTGATGGAGCTCTTGACAGAAAGGCTTAGGGAATTTTTTTTGTCCATGTGTGTACGTACAAGAACTCTACTAGTCCGACAGCACAGAAATCCTAGAGAGGTGAAAGATGTCTAAAAGCTGGATAGGTTTTTACATGAGATGAGCATTTCTATGGGAACAACTAAGTGAATTTTAAAGTCCATTAAAAGTTTGCTTTGTGTCAGCCAGCTGATGGAAGTTGCCATGGCCACTCTTTAAGTGGTAGGGTGATAGATTTGTTTGTGGGAGGAGAGGGAATTTGCTGGAGGTGTCTCTCTGGTGCCTGGTCCCTAATGCCTGAAGGGGGTGGTGGCTGCTGACCCACCTGTGTGCTCTGCCTTCAGGCTTCTGGCCCTGCTGCACATAGCTCCTGCAGCTTGGTTTATCTGGTGCCTGCTCTGGATGACTAAAGCCTAAATTTTATGAAGGAAAGTTTTGCTTGTCTGCAGATGCTGGCAGAGTTCAGTTATGCATGATGCTTTCAGGCAAATAACTCATTGGCTTCCATTTACAAAATTGAAAAAGCAAATACTGGCTGGTCAACAGTATGACTGAGAGAAGCTTCCAGCTGGACCACAGAAACATACATGTTTTTTAATTTGAAACCAAACCAAACCACACACCAGCAAACCCATGTTTCATGATTAGGAATGGGGAATGATTGCAGTTGGTGTTACGTTTGGGTTTTTTTTTTCTTCAAACTCTGTTTGCAGTTGCACTGAAATGTCTGAATATAGACTTTTTAAAAAAGTTTTTGGTGGGATTTTTTTCCCCTTGTATTGAATCACTCATTTCTAAGTAAACGATGAGGCTATCATGGAAATGAATGTTTATGTTGTCATTGCTATCTTATATTCAGTAACTTTCCTTTGCACCCCTCCTTCACATTTTCTTTTAACAAAACAAACAGAAAAGAAACCAAAAGAGAAAAGCCTAGTCCATAGTAAGCCTTTTCTTTCCTCGCTCCACTTTGCAGGCGATATTTGAAGTGATATCTTCTGAGCATTCTTATTTGCTGAGCTTGGAGATTCTGATCCGGATGTTTAAAAATTCCAGGGAACTGAGCCTCACAATGACCAAAACGGAGAGCCATCACCTCTTCTCCAATATCACGGATGTTTATGAAGCAAGCAAAAAGTAAGTTTAGCAATGCATGTCTACATTAAAAAAATATACTGTAAAAAATTATATTTAAAATTTAGTAATTATAAATTAATTTATATTTTTAATTATGCCTGAGGGGTGATTACTGGAAGTCAAAATATTGTTCAGGCAAGCAATGGAATGCACTATGCAAATTAGTGTCTTTGGTGTTACCACAAAATGCAGGAGCAGCTGCCATATTGCAAATTCAGAAAAAAAATTAGGCCTGACTTTAAGAATGAGAAGTCAAATGTTGCACATCTTAATATACACTTAGTTTTTGATAAGCTGTAAATAAATGAGAATGGAACTTGAATTTTTCTTCTTTGAGAGCACCAAAATATAGTAGAAATTTTAGTAGAAATAAATATCCTTCAAGCAGTTCCTAAGCAAAATGTTGATACATTAAGCATGCATAGCTAGTCTTTACAGTCTACCAAATTATGCTTAGTGTGCCATTATTAAACTGAAAAATTGAGCAAGAGTTTCATACTTGCTCTTAAGAATGGACTCTTGCCAGTGATTTCCTTGGTCAGCTGAATCACTGTTTACTTTCTGTGGAGTACTCGATGTGCGGCGTTGCAGCATACGGTGTGACTGTGGTATCTTTTATGTAAACAGCACAGGCATTTTAGTGTTTAGGAACAGTGCTTGTGCACACCACAGCACCTGACACCAGAGACTTATATTTCTATTAAAAAGATCTGTTGTGCTGGGCTTTTTGCCCCTTTTTTTTTTTTCACTTTGGCAGGTTTCCTCAGTACCAAATCAATAACAAGCAAAATGGACACACTACAGATAGTGCCTAATGAAGAGGAAATGTTGGCAGACCACGATACAAATGCTGGAGAGTCTTGTTTATGACCACTGATAATTACTGCCATCAGTATTTAATATGGGACATGTATACGGATGTGCACTCCACAGTGTACTACAGAGTTATAAATACTCAAAACTCTATTCTAAAAAGTTGTTAAACAAGGCTTTACTTTCATACAATTTGTTCATTATCTTGGCCTGCTTAATAGCAGTATCAGCAGGTGAAGTACTAAAACAGAAAGTCTGTGCTTCTTTTCTTACATCTTTCCAATTTGAAATAGCACAATGGCTAAAAGATGCACATTGGCCTAGATAAGGTACTGATTGATCTTAACTACAGCACTGTACAGCTTTAAATATATCTTCCTACCTGTGGAACAGAAAAATATTAGCCTCATTTCAGAAGTGGGGTTAATGGCTGGATAGGAATCTGTAAGGCTGGAAATATTGCTGGAGTTGTTCCTTCCCACCTTTGCCAATTTTTAGGTTTGTTGTTGTTGTTTGGTTTTGGTGTTTGGTTTTTTTTTTTTTTTGTTCCCTTTTGTCACCTTCTTGTAGAAACTGTGTTCTGAACTGTGTAGTGTTATATCAGCATTTACCTTTGTGGAACTTCTCAAGTGTCATGTTCCCATAATGATAATGTCCTTTCTTGGCGTCTGTTTCTCTGAAGGCCTATGAAGTCTGTGGAATGGTGCACCTCTTCTGCAGCAGTTTGATTTTGTCTTCTGAAGTTTCTGCAGTAATAAGATTTTGTTTTGTGGAGCGTGCATGTGAGAGTCTAAAGTATCGTGTCAAGTGCAAATCTAATTTAGGAGCTATAGAATAGTTGTACATTTATTTGGACTTAATTGGTATACCTTCATTTCTCCATGTCCCTGTTCCCTTCTGTTTCTCTCTTAGAGTTGAGGTTTTTTGCCAGGAGTAGGATATTGTCTGAAGCCACAGCCATCACAGGAATGGTAGTTGCACAACAGCTGTGTTGTCAGGAGGGGCAGGTTATCAGAGTCCTTATTTTCCAGGAGTAGTACTTTTTAAAAGTTTCTCCTTACAGAAAATATGAATTGTTAAAAGTATAATGAGCCCATATTTTGCTAGACAAACGCTGATGGTGCAGAACCATCATATGTTAGAGGGGAACTGACATCTTTTTTTAGACAGCTTAATAGAAATCAAAGGTTTAATTGGGCTGCAGGCTTTGCCTCTTGTTGGCCTGTTTCCATAAGGCACAGCTTAGTACTAGTATAGCTATGTGAATAGGGGGGTGTTGTTTTTTTTTTTCCTGTGTAGAAGAAGCCTTCCAAATCATTAAATCAACTTTAAGTTTCTCTCTTAAAACACTTAAAGCAGAGATGGGGGTAGGGAGAGCAATATTTTTAGGGGAAATCTTACAGCCCTTTTGGTTAACAGCCCTTAAAGGGAGGGGGAGGGAGTAGGGAGCAAGAATGGAAAAATACCACATTAGCCTAAAATTATTTGTAATTCCTTTTTTAAACTTAAATGAAAACATATTTTGTTTCCTGAGTTATCCAATACTGTTGAACTGTAACAGAACTTTGTGCTGCCTTTCTCCAACCTCATTCGTATAAACAACAAAAGTGGTTTTAGAACAGAATCCTCTTGCTATCTCCAAATTATCACTTTCCATTTGCAAGGTCTTTCAAGGTACCAAAATACATCCTTTTGTTATAAAATTGTAATAAAATTGAGCATGTGTCCCATTGTGCTCTACTTCAAGCAGCATTTACTTAACAGAATCTGAGTATGAATGTAATTATCAGTGGTTTTGGTTGCTCAGAGTCTGGTGAGCTGAAGAGTCTGAAATGATAAATCTCTTCAGACAAAATTGCTTAAAGCTTATATCTAGGAACTTTGACTTAGAACATGTTTAATGGAAACTCTTCAGAAACACCAAGATAGGCTTCTAATGCATGACAAGGCCATTTTGGATGGAACAAAGCTGCTTTTGTTAGAAGCAGAATACGGACAGCAAAAACTGTCTGCTTTTGGGAGCTCATTGGAATGTCTCTAACAAAGGAAGGGTTGATCTGAATAATTTCTGCAGCATACAGTGTGTTTATGAAAACATCTTGTAAGGTAGCTTCAGAAAGCTTAAGTCTTATGTATTTGCCTGTACGTGTAATACTGGATTTCATAACTGACAGAACACAAAATCACACAAATTGCAATCTGAGCCCGTGTGGGCTATTAGATCGAGATGTAAGCTGATGGGGAAGCCATAGGCCATTCAGGAAGCCATATAGGAATAAAAGCTTGTGTAGTCTGAGAATACTGTGCAATCAATCTCACCTAGTAAGAAGAGCTCTCTCCAGTCTCAGTATGTGGTGCAAGAGAGGTCAGCTTCCCAAGGGCCAGTCTTGGGAAAGAGAAGTTACAGGGAAATTAACAAAATGTCATGAAGAACAATTGATCTGACAGGTCAAACCACCAAAATTACGGAAGGAAACCTATAGCATTTTTCTCTCTCTCTGGCATTAAGCCAGAAAGAAGCTTATGGAATATCAAAAGATCAGTATGAGCAGAAAAAGACATGGACTAAAATATTTTTTATTTCTGACAGTTTTTAAACTGGCTTGATTTTGGTAGAGAAGCCCCCGGTGTTTTGTGAGGTAGGCTAACATATTGTCTAAGTGAATCTTAATTTAATTTTATATATGTAAATTTATGCTAGGCCCTGGATGGGCTTTCTCATAGCACTTTTTCTGTAAATTAGGTTAGTACTTCATCTCTTTCCAATGATGCAGTTTCATCTTTTCCCATAGGAAAATACAATCCTAGTGTTTTTTAAGAAGTGTGTGTATTGAATCAGTTAAGTAGGCATTAATAACATTACTTTTTGAGAATGCAGAATTCTGCTGTCTAGTTTCTTTGAAAGACTGAAAAAACAACACTAAAGCTCCAAACCTGAATATTAAAAGTAAAATAAAAATTTTTATACTGTTGGTAGACCCTGGGTGATTCAGGTGAACTATAATGAAAGGGAATTATTCATAAATAATAGATCACCAATTTGATTATTAGACAAGATAGTGATCTAAGTAATCTTTTTTCCCCTCTTTGGTCTGCAGTGATGGTCTTAGTCTGTGTTCCGTGTTTTATCACAGTTCTTGTGTTATAGTCTGTGTTCTGTGTTTTATCACAGTTCTTGCTGTTAGCAGGTTTTGAAGAAAGCTGGATAATATCTTGAGGACATCCAGCTGAGTGTGGTTACCCTGTTGGATAAGTGCCACAGGTGTGTTCTGGGGGAGAATTTCTGTGCTCTTTCAAAGAAGGTTGTTCATGCTGGAAGCTTTGAAGCAGGTATTGATAAGGCTGAATGATAATGTTGAATATGGTGATTATGTTGGATACAGTGGACAGGATAATGGGAATAAGAGGGAGAAGAATCCTCCCACATCCAAGTGGAAGCAAGACATGAGGCACCTGTGGCTCTGCAGAACCTGGAACGTTGTCCTGCCCCTCGCTGGGGAGCACTCAGATCACGCATGGCACTGAGGCTGTTTGAGGTGTTGCACAGCACTGCTGAATTTACCGCTTGTGGGTTTCGCCTTTCTGGCAGCCTTGCTGCATAATCTGCTTTTACTGCCAGTGGGGCCCTTTTTGCTTGTTGGGAGACTTCAGGGATTCTGGAGGACATTTGTAGAGCAGCAAGTCCAAAATATCCCTCTCCCCCCACCCCCTTTAAATTTTATATGCCCACAGAACACATTTATGGATTTGCATCATATTGATTACTTGCACTAAAAACAAGTGCATTTATCCTTGTTTTTCTTCAAGATTGCTTCCTTCAGGGTTGGTTCTGACATCAGCACTAATTGCTGAACTCTTTGAATTCTAGGAATTACTCATTTAGAGGGCTCTTCTGGCAGCTGAAATAAATCCCTGGGTTGACCTGCACTGCTCCTTTGCAAATGACTGGCAGTGTTGGTAAAAACTAACTTCATAATAATATGCAATTGGAACTTTGCTACTTGCATTTCTGACCAGTGATTGTTCTTTTATAATTTAGCCTCTTTATTGGAGACAAGATCAGATAACATGACTTCAGTACTCAAGGGCAACAAATCTGAGCACAGTCATACTTCCCTTGACTCGTTTTATTGGCTGAACAGAATTTAGGAATCTTTATATGTATATCTGCATTTTATAATTTAATA